TTGTCCTTCGGTCTATAGAAGAGATATCCAAAGGATGTCTGCGGGTAGCCGATGAAAATACATCGCTCACTTCGAGGTTCAAGCTTGTCGTGAGTATCTCGTCTTACGAAAGCCTCGCAACCCCAAACCTTGATATGTGCCAACGAGGGAGCTTTCCCCGTCCACATCTCGTGAGGTGTTTTGGCAACCTTCTTAGTAGGGACTCGGTTAAGGATATGGGCGGCAGTCTCTAAGGCATACCCCCAAAAGAAGATAGGTAGTGAAGCACGACTCATCATAGAGCGAACCATATCCAATAAGGTTCGATTACGCCTTTCTGCCACACCATTCAACTGCGGTGTCCTAGGAGGCGTCAATTGCGAAACTATTCCACACTCCTTGAGATAATCGTGGAATTCAAGACTTAGGTACTCTCCTCCTCGATCGGATCGAAGCATCTTGATTTTCCTGCCCAATTGATTCTCCACTTCATTCTTGAACTCTTTGAACTTTTCAAAGGTTTCTGACTTTTGCTTGATTAAATAGATATACCCATATCTACTATAATCATCGGTAAAAGTCACATAGAAGCGGTTCCCATCCTTCGTGGTTGATCTAAAGGGTCCACATACATCGGTATGTATTAGGTCCAATAGCCCCTCACCCCTTTCACAAGTATTCGTGAAGGGTGACTTAGTCATCTTTCCAAGTAAACAAGACTCGCATGTGTCATCTTCCCTAAGGTCGAATGACTCCAACACTCCATCCTTTTGGAGTTGGGCTATGCGTTTCTTGTTGACATGTCCAAGACGGCAATGCCACAAGGATGCTTTATCCATACTAGTGGAAGAATCAATATTCAAAACATCATTTCCTAAGTTATCAACAATCATAACAGTTTCATATATTCCATTACATGGTATAGCTTCAAAGTAAAAGACACTATTTAGATAAGCCATAATAGAACCATTCTCATTATTAAAAGAAAATCTAAATCCTTGTCTATATAAACCATGAAATGAAATGATGTTTCTAGCCATTTCTGGCGAATAGCAACAATTGTTCAAATCTAAACATAAATTATTCCTAAGCACTAAAGAATACACTCCAATCTTGGTAACAGGCGACGATCTTCTGTTCCCCATGATTAGATTGATCCTTCCTTGCTCCACATCCCTACTTCTTCTTAGTCCCTGCACATTTGAACAAATGTGATAACCACAACCGGTGTCAAGAACCCAAGAAATAGCATGATTAGAATCGTTAGATTTAATTGTGTATATACCTGCGAAAGATGGCTTGATCTTTCCTTCTTTGATTGCTTGCAGGTATTCTGGGCAGCTTCTCTTCCAATGTCCTATCTTGTGGCAGTGGTGGCACTCTGCCTCCTTCGGGTTAGGATAGGGCTTAGAGGGATCAACTTTGGTCCCACTAGAAGAGGCACCATCTCGGGCTTTAACCTTGCGATAGTTCTTTGATGAAGCCTTCCTCTTCTTTCCCTTTCCTTGACCAATTGCCAAGACAGGAGCAGCAGACGGATTGGGAGTAGGTGCAACAGACTTGTCTTTGAAGTTGCTCTCAGCGACTCTCAAAAGACCTTGGAGTTTGCTTAGGGTGACCTCCTCTTTGTTCATGTGGTAGGTCATCCTAAATTGGTTGTACATCGGAGGCAAAGAGTGAAGCACCATGTCGATCGCCAAGTCTTCCCCAAAGTCAACATTTAACTTGCGAAGGCGATCGACATACCTTTGCATCTTTTGCAGGTGCACGGTAAGAGATTCTCCATGACCCATCTTAGCGGAGATCATGTTAGTGAAAATCTCATAACGCTCTTGTCTCGCGTTTTGGTGGTATCTCTCCAATAAGTCTTGATGCATCTCGTATGGATACATGTCCTCGTAGGACTTTTGGAATTCGGAGTTCATGGTGGCAATCATGATGCAATGTACCTTCGTTGCATCTCGCTCATGAGTCTCAAAAGCGGTGATTTCGGCCGGAAGTAGCGATTTCGGGGTTGATCTTCTCAAGCTTTTCATCGAGGACATACTCCTTATCCTCATAGCGAGCAATGGTGCGAATGTATCTTATCCATTCGCTAAAGTTCGTTCCATCGAAGGTGACCTTTTGGCAAAGGCTCATCAACGTGAAAGAACTCGCAGCAGCGTTGTTTGTGTTCGACATCTATAGAAAGGACAAAGATAGATTAGAATAAGAATCCCTAATTATCACCCAATAAGAAAAATTAGGGTTAGGATCCAACAATAACATTTACATATTAGAAAAGGGATGCCGTAATCTAACATGAAAATAAATTGAAGGTAAGTGAATGACGATTCACTAATTCTCCATTACAAAACCTAGACTATTAGTCCTAAGTGTATTGAGAATTCCTAGGTTCGGATGAGATTCATTGAAACTATTCAATGGCATGTTTAAATCTCGATATGCCCCTCTTGTTTGTGACTGGGATGCCGAGGATCACAAAGCGGGTGTGAATTACCATGCAAATTCACATGGTGCCTTCATTGTAACGATCACCTATTCGATGTGCCGGTAAACCACACACGCTCCATCGAACTATGATAAACAATGAATCACCCTTTGCCACCTTTGCTTAGAACCAATTAGTGTGCCGGTAAACCACACACGCTCCACTAACTTCTTAGCAAGGGTGCAAAGTGTAATTTCATGGGATTGCATCAATTCACTTTTCCTAAAGTAACTAAGATTGGGAAATTTTTAAAACGTGTAGTTACTTTGTATTTCTTATTATACTTTTAATGAGAGGATGAGGTTGCCCTATCCTACCCGTTCGGCTAACGACCCTCCACCAATCAAGCAAGCGGTGGGTGTGAGTGTACACCCATTAAGCGCCATTTTATAGGCCGCAACCTTATACCCACCTTATAGATCGGCTTCGTGAATGAGGCCTACTAACGGTAAGACTAGCATTTAGTTATACATATATATATATATATATATATATATATATATATATATATATATATATATATATATTATTCTAGTAATATCATATTAGTATAAGGTTGTGTTTTAAACCTTTTAAAACGTAGGGTTTGAAATTTAAGTTGTCTAAATTAAAACCTTTTAATCACAAATATAAATTTCAAAACTTGAGGGCAAGTTTTAAACATTTAAAACATGGAGGATCAAATAACAAATAATTCCAATTAACAATTAATATCCTAATTATCTTTATTTGATTTATCCAAGATTTCTTTTAAGATAATTATCAAAATAATTAATCAATTATCATATAAGGAATTAAATATTTTATTAGATGATAAATATCTTTAATTAGATCAAGATTATAGTCATATATATAAAAAAAAAACGGATTAGGATTGATCTAATATGATTAAGGTAAGTTTCCATAAGATAAACATGAAAAAATCCCGGTTTTGCCTAATCCTGACGCCCGGACTCGCCGAGTACACAAAGGGACTCGCCGAGTCAGGCCTACTCGCCGAGTCTACTTTGGAACTCGCCGAGTCCATGACTCAGAAACCCAAAAATCGAATTTTGCAGGTTTGTTTCAGTTAATCAAGCAACAATTTAAAGAAAACCAAGCTAGGCTCTGATACCACTGATGGGTTTTAGCCATAAGAACTTTCCTATGTGCGCATGCAAAACCCTAATGCTCGGATCTAGGCTTTCTAATTAAACATGCTTTGAATCCAAGACTTCTAATGGCTAATTAGAATAAATTACAACATTGAAATAGATCTAGAATCATACCTTTGGATTCCTTGTTGATCTTGTTGTCTTGGAGCTTCTAGAGTCACAAATGTCACTCCTCTAATGGCTTACAAACACCAATAGCAAGAAGATGATTTAGGAGAGAGGAGAGGGGAGGAATTCGGCCAGAGTATCTCTACTTTAGATGGTGTGTCGAATTCCTTCACCCCTAGGGTCTATTTATACTTGTAGACTCCTTAAGGATTACAACTTTAACCCTAATTGGATAACTTAGACTTTAAGTTGATCCATATCCTTTCCTTGATAACCCTATGGACGATTTTGGCTTATCCAAGCCCTAGAAATCGTCCATCCTATCTTGGATAAGGATTTATAGTCTAAAGTGTAACTATCAAACAATTGACAGTTTATACCCTCTTATTTAATTAATCTCTTTAAGTCACCAAATTAATTCCAATTAATCTATGACTTATATTAATCAAATAACCATATATTATTCCTTATAATATTTACTCTCTCTTAACAAATCATCCATCAAGTTGCTATGGTGAAGGCAACCCAAAAGGACCATGCACAACCGGGTCAAATACTTGCCTAATATAGTTGCAGCCTTAGACACTATTCCAACACATCCATGATGGCTTCCATCTTAATTGACCAGGTGTTGTAATTTAGTGAGGTTAACATTACGCACTATAGGGTGAAGGGGTTGTCCTTGGACTGATTGGATGATGATGGGGCTGTCATCTTGTTGAATCGAGGGTACTTAGGCATACCATTGATCAGGATCTGTAAAGCTCTGATACTAAATGTTGGTGATCAAGCCAATGAAAAAAAAAATGCAAAGCAGGGGCAAAACAGGAAGAATATGCAGCCGAATGATTCACCTTTTATTGAATGATTAATAGCAACCTAATGATTGAGTTGTTGTACAGGAATTTTCGACTGATTGTAACTAGTTGAATCAAAACTAATAAATAAAGCTATTTAACAGAAAAAGAGAAAAACTAGCAACGTCCCTATTCCAACGTTCTAGTCACCCACGTGCTTTTACCCTCCTGAATACTTGATCAACCGTTGACTAATAGATCGATATTCTTGTGAGTTGGCTTGTCTCACTTATACTTCTAGGGCCGCTTATGGAAATGTAAAATTTAAAGTAAAAAAGTTTAGTTGATGGATAGGAAGATGGTATCCATGACTTTGACATGCGTGCCGTTGACCAAAATCATCGTTGAAGTAGAACATCAAACAGGTATTCGAATTCAGTTGGGTCCCGATACAAATCAACGCTTTGCTACGCCATCGCCATGGTTGATTCCCATCCACAAACCAAGCAAGTTCAAGAAATAGCGGCAGACTATAACCACCTGCCGGAAAGATACATCCGTAAACAAGACGAAGAGTACGGTAGCGTCAACAACGCCGGTGTGTCGTCTCCGATCACTGACGATATTCCTGTTGTTGATGTTAGCCTCTTAACTTCATCTCTTTCGGAGCTCGATAAGCTCAAATCAGCTGTTAGCTCTTGGGGATGCTTTCAGGTTTCTCTCTCTATCTATCTCTCTCGATTTCATGTATCTTAGCCCTGAACACTTGTTCTGCGGGATAACTATCTGTTATTGATCGATCGATCGACATAATATCTGCAACTGTAGTTCTAATTCAATCCACCTGTTGTAAATTTAGAGACAATTTTAACATTTAGGCTTTATCAGTTTGAATGTAACAACCAGTTTCAGATTTGACGAATCGATTTTTTATTTAGGAACTAATCAATCTGGTGCTTGAGTAAATTGTTTTAAAGAAACTCAATTGGATCTCAGGCAATTAACCATGGAATTGAAAGTTCGTTTTTGGAGAAAGTTAGAGAAATCAGCAAAGTGTTCTTCGGGTTATCAATGGAGGAGAAAAAGAAATACATGAGAGCACAAAATGATCTCGAAGGCTATGGAAATGACATGGTTCTCTCACATAACCAAACTCTTGATTGGACTGATAGGCTCTACCTCACTGTTCTTCCAAAACACCAACAAAAGCTTCAATTATGGCCTCAAAATCCCTCTCACTTCAGGTAAACTAAACATTATTTCAACAACTTTATCTCAGATGCTGAAATGGGATTGACTTATTATAATATATCATGTAATTGTGATGGCATATCTCAGGGAGATTCTTGATGAATATAGTTGTAAGATAGAGTCAATCAATAAACTTGTGCTTAAAGCCCTTGCTAGATCATTAGATTTGGAAGAGAATTGTTTCTTGAATCAATATGGAACAAATTCAACAACGAATGCAAGATTTAACTACTACCCTCCTTGTCAATGGCCTGAAAAAGTTTTAGGAGTGAAACCACATGCAGATGGGTCAGCAATCACAGTTTTGTTGCAGGATAAAGAGGTTGAAGGGCTTCAAATCTTGAAAGATGATGAATGGGTTGGAGTTCCTATTGTTTGTGATGCGTTAACCATTAACATTGGTGATCAACTCGAGGTAATCAATCAATCAATCATTTTATTTGTTTGAATATTGATGGATTTTGTATGAAAAGGATATGATTTGAGAAAATGTATGTGTAGATAATGAGTAATGGGGTGTTCAAGAGTCCTGTGCATAGAGTGTTGGTGAACTCGGAAAATGAAAGGATGACTTTGGCGATGTTTTGCATGCCTCAAACGGAAAAGGATATTGGAGTTGTTGATGAACTTGTTACGTGTGAAAGACCAAGGTTATACAAGAATGTCACGTTTACTACAGACTTTTTTTTCAAGAATTATCAACAAGGTAGAAGAGCCATTGATGCTTGCAAGATTTGAAACAAACGGAATCCATCAAATTGTCTTTTGTTTGGTTGGTAGAGGATAAAATGATATTCAATTTTGTTTTGTTTTTTTTTTTATGTCAAAAGAATTGAATGGAGACTACATATACCAACAAATGTCACCTTGCAATTCTCATTCCAAGTACGGATAAAAACGGATAACTTTCTGTTAAATCTTATTGCTAAGGGTTCAAATTGGTATAATGAAAATATCTAATAGCTAAAAAAAAATATGTAAAAAAAACAGTTTCAAGAGTCTCTTAAAGTATATATCCGAGTGTTATAAACCCCAAAAAAAATTATTTAAAAAAACTTGAAGAGAAGACCACCATGAGTAGCAAAAAATGGTGCAAAAACGAGGGATTCAACAGCCATGAGTTTGATTAGGATATTTAGCGACGGCCCGGAAGTGTCCTTTAAAGGGTCGCCAACAGTGTCACCAATCACAGCCGCCTTGTGTGGGTCCGACCCTTTGGGGCCCAGCGTTCGTGCATGCTCAGAAGCGCCAGCCTAGAACAAAGTTTACATAAAATGATATTTTAAAAAACATATTTTTTTTAAAAAAAGGAAAGGATATCTTTGTAAGTTTAACAATACCTCGATATATTTCTTGGCATTGTCCCAAGCACCACCCGTGTTTGATGCAGATATAGCAATCTGTATTAAGTTTAAAAAAAACACGTGTGAGAAATGCATGATGAAGAAAAGGAAGGGTAAAAAGGTCATTTGGGCAATGACTGATGAGTACCTGAACGCCGGAGATAAGAGATCCGGCGAGAAGACCGGAAAGCGTTTCGACCCCAAAGAAAATCCCAACAATAAGAGGAGTAAGCATAACAAGGGCGCCAGGTGGAATCATCTCTTGAATGGATGCATCGGTTGAAATCTGAACACAAGTTGCATAATCGGGTTTTGAAGTGCCTTCCATGAGACCTGGAATTGTATTGAATTGCCTCCTGACTTCCTCCACCATTTTAAGCGCTGCACTTCCAACACTCCTCATTGTCATGGCTGAAAACCAGTAAGGAAGCATCGCTCCCACCAACAAACCAATAAAAACTTTCGGCGTCAAAACATCAACCGTTATGATCTCCGCTCTACTCACAAACGCACCAAATAGAGCCAACGATACAAGAGCCGCTGACCCGATTGCAAAACCCTACAAATAACCCGACAAATTAATCGCTGTCGCTAAATAAATGAAGGAATACTTGAATTGGTACCTTTCCGATGGCGGCAGTGGTGTTTCCGGCGGCGTCAAGGGCGTCGGTACGTTCGCGAATCCGGTGGCTCATCCCGGCCATTTCGGCGATGCCGCCTGCGTTATCACTGATCGGACCGTATGCATCGATGGCTAAACCGGTGGCGATGGTGCTCAGCATTCCGAGGGCGGCAACAGCGACGCCGTACATGGCGGCGAAAGTGAAACTAACGTAAATACTGATTGCGATTGCGAAGATCGGAATGATACATGACTTGTACCCCAAAGCAAGCCCGAAAATTACATTTGTCGCCGCCCCTGTCCGGCAAGAATCCGCCACGTCCTGGACCGGGCTGTATGCGTTGCTGGTGAAGTATTCGGTTACAAACCCGATTATAAGCCCGGCCCATAAACCGACACTAACACATAAGAACAATTGCCTGCAAAACCCAAAAAAACGTAAAAATTTGTATCCATTTGGTGGGAGTAAAATTGAAAATTACCAGTTGTGAACTTCTTTCTGGATTCCGAAATTGAAGATGGTGAAGGAGGGAGGAAGGGCAACCCAACTAACGAAGGCTATACCCACAGTCATCAAGATGGTGGAAATTATGAGTTGGTATTTTAAAGCGGGTTCGATTTCTTTAACAGTTTTGATTTCGAAAAAGTCAGTGGCGAAAAGGGTAGTGAGCAAACAAACAAGAATGCCAACGGAACTCACTAGGAGAGGATACATCATTGAAGTGAAATCATGATTGTTACCAAATGAGGAAATGGAAGCAACTACAAGAGCTGCACATGATGACTCAGCATACGACCCGAAAAGATCGGATCCCATACCAGCAATATCCCCAACATTGTCACCAACATTGTCTGCAATAACCTGTAACGAAAAGTTTTTAAAACCATGTTTATGTGTTCTGAAATTAGATGAAGAAGTAAGACTTACTGCAGGGTTTCTTGGGTCATCTTCTGGAATGTTCCTTTCTACCTTGCCAACAAGATCCGCCCCAACATCAGCGGCTTTGGTGTATATTCCACCACCAACTCTACCAAAGAGTGCCATGGAAGATCCACCGAGTCCATAACCAGTTATGGCTTCAAAAAGGCCTTCCCAATCATCACCATAATAAAGTTTAAACAGGTTGATGGTGATATACAGAACAAGGAGACCATTTGCAGCTAGGAGAAACCCCATGACAGCACCAGAACGAAAAGCAACAATAAAAGCCTTCCCTACTCCCTTTCTTGCTTCAAGGGTAGTTCTGGCATTTGCATATGTAGCAATTTTCATTCCAAGGTAGCCAGATATGACTGAGGTGATGCCGCCTAGTAGAAATGATATGGTGCTGAAGATGGCAGTTGCAAGTGCAGGTTTACAGAGCTTGCTGCTATCGTATGTGCATTGTTGGTCACTGGTGCTGAAACCCTCAACGGAGCCCAGGAATACAAAGATTAGAACAGCAAAAACAGCCATGAAAACAGCAACGTATTGGTATTCAGTGAAGAGGAAGGAAGTTGCTCCTGTAATAATAATAAATATGTCTATAAGGAAACATACATTTGTAAGAATTCAACACCACACACAGACTCTAAAAAGCTAGAGTATGTGTAAACTAGCAAGCTACATCAAAAGAATCACACCTTAAAGTCCTTATATTGCTTAGTAGAGAATTCATCTATAGAAAATAGAATTCATGCGAGATAAGCTTGTAGAAATAAATCACAGACTTGGACTGAAGTAGGAATTCACAATATCCAACGCAGGGAAGAGAGTACTATCAATATATATAAAGAAAGAACAAGGAAGATTTCTAATCATGATATAAACTCATTTGTAGATAAATTTTACTAACGTAGATCATGATTACACAGAGAGAATAAGAATATCGATAACAAATCATTCTAGTTTTCGAGATTTTATCGAGAAATCAAAAATCACCGCGAGAGATTACACCAACAATTAACGATCTAAAGGAAATAAAACAATCGCAATACCTTCGGCAATAGCGTTCTGAATTTCGGCACATTTACGAACAACGGTGTGGTCATTGACGCCTTCTTCTTCCTCAATCAAGGATTCAGCGTACCCATGCCTGCCGCCACCGGCGAAAGGCTTCTCCGGCGAGAGCTTGATTTTGGCGACAAGGCACCATTGGATGAGAGAGAAGAGAATTCCTATGACGGCGCAGACTGGGATTACGATTTCGGTGCCGAGATCTGGGAGAATTGTTGACGTCCCCATGGCCGTGATAGCGGAGGAGGACGGATCTCCGACGAGAAAAACGAACAAAATGAAATTTGGTAAAAGAGACGAAAAGTGAAGCAAAATGAAGGCCGGGTGGATGGGTGACAATGCAGGTTCCGGCAAGGAAGTTTAGATGGAGACGATGTTAAGGTGTATATATAGATACAGATATATGAATGTATAAATTCAGGAAAGAGAGAAAATCGAGCGGGTATGAAATTGATGTCTGTTCATTCTATAACTCCTTGCATCTATTGGGATGCTTACCAATACACTCCCTATCAAAAATAAATTTACAAAAATGGTCTCTCTAAATTACACAATGATCCCTACTTTAATTGAAAATTACATAAATGGCTCCTACATAGGAAACAATTTACAAACAAGGTCGATGTAATTTACAGAATGGGTCCCTGTGCAGAATTATTTTTATAGGAATAGTCCCTCCCTATTAACAAATTTACGAAAATAGTGCCTAAGTTTCATAAGTTATAGATATGGTCCATTTCTATTATCAAATTTACACAAGTGGTCCTTATGTTTCACAATATTATAAAAATGTTTCCTACTTTTAACAAAATTACATAAATAACCCCTACCAAAAGTATATTGTTCCTACCTTTCACAAAACTAGAGAAATAGTTAATGCCTAATAACATTTTACATAAATGTTTCATGTCTAATAACAATTTTACATAAATATTTAAAATGGAAGAGTATATTAGAAAATTTTGTATGAAAAATATAAGATTTAGAGTAAATTACAAGAATGGTCCTTTAGCATTCCCATTTGAAACTTTTTTCAATGAGATGGTCCCTAAGGAGCAAACATTGCATATAAAAGACCCTTGTGACTAACTTTGTTAGAAGATTTTGTTAAGTTCTATTAAATGACAAAAATACTATTTGTTTTATACACATAAATGCTCTCTCTATCTATCTATCTATGTATCTATATCTCTCTCTCTCTCTCTCTCATTTTATTACCCAAATTCAATACCCAAACCATCGGCTCCTCACCACCGTCCCTCCTTCCAACCACCAACAACACAATCATAAATCAAGCTTTGCATCATACCATTAGTCTTCCTAATGTTTCATCTTGCCAATAATTGACCATATGTGTTTGATCAAGATTCTGGATCCATTGACCATATGTGTTTGATCAAGATTCTGGATCCATTGACCATATGTGTTCTGATCAAGATTTATTTCTTGCGTTATAACGTATTTCTCAACATCATACCATTAGTCTTCCTAATGGTCAAGACACATCAATTTCATACATTGAAAAGATTCGATACATGAGTCCATCATTCTTCATGATTTTTATATAATTCAGAATTCAAGTATATTATGGTTTCCATTCTAAAGTTGATTGATCAGCTCAAGCCATTCACTATTGTTACTAATCAAGAGTGTCTTCTACAAGAACCTTTGTTGAAGAATGGCATCTCACTTGGTATGCTTGGCAAAAGAATAAGATATATTTATATGTTTGATCATAATTATCTTAAAAACAATCTTGCATATAGTTTCTTTACTTTTTATTTGTTACCATTGTTCGAATCTTTTGTATCCAATGTTAAATCAAGTACAATGAAATGGCATAATCAAATTGGCCATGATCCATTTACAACATTCACATGTCTTTCTGTTGCAACAACAGATTCTAGACATGGTTGTATTGATGCTTGTGAAATATGTGTTAAAGATAAATATCATAGACTATCATTCCCTATCAGTGAGACTTGTACTAAAACTCCTTTTAAATGAATTTAAGTGGATGTATAGGGCCCTATAAGCATTATACTTTTAATGGATTTAAATACTTCATTACCATAGTTGATGGCTATATTCAACATACTTAGGTACATCTTATCAGTCATAAAAGTTATGCCTTCTCCATGATTAATAACTTCATTGCTCTAATTTATACTCAATTTCAAGTTCATATCAAATCTATGATCTTGAACCAGGATCAACAATGAAGGTATTGAGTATTTCATATCTAAATTCATAATCCATCAAAAAGTCCACTCCATACACCCCACAAAAAAATGGCATTGTAGAACAAAAACACAAGAATATTATTGAAGTTGCAAGGGCTCTCTACTTTTAATATGGAATTGGTGTTGCTTATTTAGGAGAATATATTAAATTTTCATTTCACATTTCAATATACTCCCTACAAAAGGTCTTGATAATAAGTCCCCATTTGAAGTTTTATTTCATACAAAACCCCTGATACATCAACTTATAGCATTTGGTTGTTTATGTTATGTTAACACCAACTGTTAAGGGAGGGACAAATTTATGCCACGAGCTCAATCATGTATATTCATTGGATACCCATTTGTATAAAAAGCTTACAAAATTCTGAATTTGGAATCCAAACAAGTATTTTTGTCAAGGGATGTTAAGTTCTTGGAAGATATATTTCCTTTAAAGTCCATGCAGTCCTCTACAATATCAATTCCTTCAACTTTTTTACTAGTTGTTCAAACAAATTCTTTTTATCCATAATATTTTACTCCAACGGAATCTACCCAACCAAATGGTTTGTTTGCATCATCTTCATATACTGTTCTATTGGTTAGAATATCAAATTAATCAAGAAAACCACCTTCCCATATACAAGATTATATTTACAATAATTTTATTGCAACTACAACAAGTCATATATGTCATTGTACCATCACAAATATTTTCATTGTTGACACTAATGTTTCATCTTGCCAATAATCCATTTCTACAAATTTTGTTGCATATAGTACCCTACCAATTCTTCATGAACCTACTTTTTATCATGAAGCAAAAGGAATATCGATATGGGAGTGTGTTATGCAAGAAGAAATTGATGCTCTAAACGCCAATGACATATGGGAATTAGTTCCTTTACCTAAAGGGAAAAAGCCTATAGCTTGTTATTGGGTATACAAGACTAAACTTCATGTTGATGGAACGACTGAACGACACAAAGCTCATACAAAAGAGGGTATTGATTATCATGAAACTTTTTCGCATGTTTTTAAGTTTACTACTATCCGTTGTCTTTTTTCTCTTTCTGTTAAAAGGGACGGGTCATACATCAATTTTGTGTTAACAAAATTATTCTTCACGGTGATCTCCATGAATAAGTATACATGTGTGTACCACCAGAACTTCATACATTATCTCCTTCTATGATTTGGAAGCTTAAAAAGTCTTTTTATGGATTAAAGCAAACGTCGAGGAAATGGTATGATAAACTGTTAAATGCCTTGTTATATTGAGGGTATCATGGATCTTCAAATGATTACTCAATCTTTATAATGAAAACTGTCACTTCCATTGTTATTGTAGCAGTATATGTCGATGATATACTTGTTACAGGCGATAATGTTGTTGAAATTAATTATCACAAACCTTCGTTAAATGACCAGCTTCAAATAAAATATTTATCAAAAATCTATTAAAATCTTATTATATATGAGATGTTTATGTTGTGAAAATGCCTTTGCCACCAAAGTTGTCTTTATTGCTAAAATGGATAATCTTTTGGAAGATCCTTTTGTTTATCGACAGTTGATTGGTGTAACACCTGATTCCTGGTACGCAGTTAATTCTAGAAATTTTTATATTTTCACTGGGGCTCGACGAGTTGGTGGCCTAACTCGTCGAGTAGAGTCATGACTCGTGGGAAGTGTAAGTGTCCTACTCGACGAGTCGGGAGACCGACTCGGCGAGTAAGTTTTGTTTGAGTGAAACCCAAATTTTGAAGGTTTTCACCCTATTTAAACAACTTATATCCCCCCATCTCAGCCTCCATCATCCCTTATACTTCCAGAAAGCATTATCTTGAAACCATGGCCTTGTTTGAGTGTTCTAAGGCCATTTTGTGCATTTTGGTGGATTGTGAAGCTTGAAAAGAGGAAAGGAACTTGGAAGCTCAATTTGGAGTTGGGAGATCCAGAGATTGTGTTCCATTTCCAGCTCATTTAAGGTAAAAAAAAAAAGCTCATATCTTGATCTTCCATGTAATTATTCATCTTTAGGGCTTGGATCTAGGTATATTTGGGGATTTCTAAGCCATTTTCGGGTTGTGAAGTGCATTATGGAATTATGACTTCAGATATGGGGCCATTGGAGGTCTTTATGGCATAAAGATGCCAACTTTGTTGCCATAAACACCCCATGGACCTTGTAGACCATCTTTTATGGCCTTTTAAGCCAAAGAACCCATGCATGTGCATCAAGCTTGAGGCTTTACGTGTAAATGGACATTAGGATGCCAGATCTATGGTTTTGATGTGTTAAGACCCATTTAAATCGACTGTATAGTAATCGTCAAGGATCGACTCGGCAAGTCGTTCTTAGGACTCGACGAGTCGGGGTGTAATGACCGCCAAGTCACTTCTGTCGAGGGACCAGATGATAGTATGGAAGGTCCCTCAGTTGTTTAGGCTTTTAAGGGACATGGGAATCATAGGACTCGATGAGTGTTAGAACAAATTCGGCGAGTCCTAGGCAATCTCCCAATCTTTGAAGATGGACTCGACGAGTTGTTCTTACAACTCGGCAAGTCATAGACTAGACACATTCATATGTTGAAGATGAACTCGACGAGTTCAAGGAAGAACTCGGGGAGTCGGATGAAGACTAACTAAAGTGTTGTTGAAGGTGAACTCATCGTGTAATGCCTCGATTCTCAGGTATTGTTTTAAACAAGATTTCTTGCGCTAAGCCCTACTCGACGAGTTGGTTGCCCTACTCGTCGAGTAGCAGCGGGATGGGATCATGTGTTAAGTGACCTACTTGACGAGTCCATATTAGGACTCAACAAGTAGGAGGCCGCAGATGAAACCCTAAATCTCGGGGTTTGTACCCCTATTTAAAGGGACCTTAGCATCCCTTAGACCTCTTTACAGTTCTAAATAGTCCTTGAGAGCCCTTATTCGGGGGTGTGTGCCTTGTGTATGTGTTGAATTTTGAAAAGAGGATTTTTTGATGGGTTTTGGTCATAAGACATCCTATGTGCTCATACAAACCCTAATGCTTGGATCTAGGTTTCTCTATTGTACATGCTTTGAATCCAAGACTATAAACCCTAATTCTAGCATACAAGTAATCATATTAATATGTAATTAGGTTTAAGATCATACCTTGATTGTTATGTAGCAATAACAATCCCAATTCCTCCTTGAATTGACTTTGGAAGGCTTAGAGTCACAAGTGTCACTCCTCTAA